ATGCTTACCTTGCTCACTGGGTATGGGTACTCTGTCCTGTCAGGTATTGTAAATTTGAAAGGAAGCTTTGATTCTGTAGGAAGATGATGTAGGGTGGGGTCAGAGACATGTCAGCCATACCCACAAGCAGAATCTTTGATGTGGCAAAAAATGTGAAACCGTTCACTACCAATTAGCAAATGAATCCATACTAACCTTGCTTATTGGGTAATCTGACATTGCTCCCACCCCTCCTATAAGATCCAGGACCCCCCACTCCTCAAGGCCTGAGGCCCACTGTGGGCCCAGAAGGATGGGGAGCAGCCTGGAGGGAGGTGGACGTTTTCCTTAGAATTAAATCAGAGCTGAGGAGAGAGGATGAGGAGGAGGAATGGAGCCCGAGCTGGTCCCAGGGGCCTGGGCCCCCCAAGCTGAGGAGGGGAGGGAACACCCAAACAAAAGCAGGAGCCACAGCAGCTGCCAAGAGCCCCCGCCTGGCAGGGACCCAGGCTCCTATAACAAGCCATGCGTCTCCTAAGGGGCCAGTCCCATCGGAGCTTCAGATCCCAGGATCTCATCCAGCCTCCATGGGGGACAAAAACGAAATGGAGGAGTTCTGCTTTGTCCTCACTCGAGCTTTTGTGTCCTCCTTCCCCCTCTGGATTTAGGGCTGCCAGCACTCATGGTGGGGGGAGGTGTCTTCCGGTGACCATCCCTTCCTCCTCCAGACGGAGCTCCCCACAGGGCCTCCTCAGGCTGGGCCACACAGGGGGAACAGCAAGTTCACCTCAGCATCTGCTCAGCTCCTAGAACAGCCTCACCATCCCCAGCCCGAGTTAGAGGCCTTCCTGCACCCGCCAGTGGGCTGACCACAGAGCTATTTATAGTGGAAGATGGTTGGGGCATCCAGCGTCAACACTGGAGCTCACCTTGCCCATTCTTCCCACGCAAGGCAGCCCCAACTCAGGCCTGAGTCCTCCCCGCAGCCTCACACTATCATCCTGGGATACAACATGGGCCTCACTGCTCTTAAAGGTGACCCGGCCAGACATCTGAGCTGTCTGTTTTTGCCCATCCATTGTATGCTTAGCAACCTACTTCCCTGGTCATGTCCCCCTGTCTGTGGGGGACCAGAAAGCATCCACACTCTTTTCACAGCACCAGGTAGTCCCTAAAGAGACTCTCTACTCAGTGTTTCAAGAAGGCTCAGGGTTTGGGGCAGTCCCCTCTCCACCCTCCACTGCTCTCTCCTCACGCTCTTACTCCCTCTCCTGCTCTTGAGCTCAGTCTTTCTTCTACAAGGGAGCCTGGTCCATCCCTGACCCCAGATGTAGAAGTGAATGCTGACTTTTTAAGGGTGTGGACACAGCAGGAGAAGCTCTAGGTTCTGGGCTCCTTTCCACCCAAACCTGCATGTGACTGAGGGTAGGAGTGTCACCTCGCCTGGACCCTCCAGGATTCAATTTTGTCATCTTTGACATTCAGCATATACTGATGGCCAGTAAAGATTCCTTCTGCTCTAAGTTCCTCAGCTGCTGTAAAGTTAACAAAAAGAAGCCACATACTCCAACCAAGAAAGGCTGCTAGACAGCTGGCCCCCAGCCTACCCTGATGTCCTCATACCCAGCTTCCCAGAACGAGGGGCAGCTCTGACCTCAGGGACTGAAGAGGAAGAAGGCTCTCCCAGGTTCCCAGCAGCACACAGAGAGGATGCCAAGCAGCTAGCACCCGAGGCATGTTTCTGGGGACCTTTGTGCCTCAGTTTCCCCACCTGGAACACCAGGATGCTCTGGAGGAACAGAAAGAGTCTGGCCTGGAGTCAGAGACCTGGTTCACCCACTAGCAGGGCCAGCATTCAAGAGGTCACACTCTACACAGGGGTGGTTTTAAACTTTTGGTTAGCAGTCAAGCACTTTAACCACTGCACCACCAGGACTCCTTCTTTTTCTTTCAGCCCCTTCTAACCATCCCCACATACCTCTTTTCCTGCCTCCACCCATTGCTGGAAGGATCTCAGGGCCCAGAAGCATGAAAGCTGGTGTGTAGGAGTTTCCACTGACTCTTCTTAAAAGCTGGGCAAGGAGGAAACACGCACACACACACACGCGCATGCCCACACACACTATCCATCCCAAAATGGTATTGAGTGGGGTTCAGAAAGCTGAGCAGGTCAATAGGGATGGTGAAGAAGGAGGGGAACTAGGGCAGCGCTACCCAACAGAAACACACCATGAACCACAGTGTCATTTCACATTTTCTGTTGCTGTTATGTGCCATAGAGTTGGACCTGATTCATAGCGACCCCTCCTTGGGTTTCCAAGGCAGTATCACTATGGAAGTAGATCACCCAACCTTCCCTCCGAGGAGTGGCTGATAGGTTTGAACCGCCAGCCTTCTGGTTAGCAGTCAAGTGCCTTAGGCACTACACCACCAGAACTCCTTCACATTTTCCAGTAGCCTCATTTAAGGAGCTCTCATGGTGTAGTGGTTAAGGCATTTGGCCACTAACTAAAAGGTCAGTGGTTTGAACCCACCAGCTGCTCCATAAAGATTTACAGCCTTGGAAACCCAATAGGGGTCGCTATGAGTTGGAATCAACTTGATGCCACTGAGTTTGGCTTTTTTATTTTTTTTTTCAATTAATCTTATTATTATTATTATTACTTTTAAAATATATTGTCATTTGGGTGAGAGTTGTACAGAGCAAACTCATTTTCCATACAGCAGTTCATATACACTTTGTCTCATGACATTGGCTGCAATTTTCCACAATGCAACAGCTCTCTTCCCACTTCCTCCCCACAGTTACTTCTTCCCTGTGTCCTTCCCTCCCATGCACTCCTGCTCCCTGAGCTGTCTGTTTCCTTGTCCATACACAGTCCTTCTATTCTCCCATGATTGATTTTTCTGAGGCATGTACACAGCCCTTCTTTTCTCCCATGATTGTTCTCTACAAGGAGTGTATCTACCTAGTGTAAATGTTCACCTCATATGCCCTTCTTTTGTTTGCCTGGAAGCCACAGGTGTGGGTTCAATTCCAGACCTAAAGGGCAGATAGGTGCTGCTCTATCAGACCAGCAAACCTGATCCCTTTTTTTTTTTAATGATCTTGAATTTTGTCCCACTCTATCCAGGATCTCCTACATAGATCCCCCTCCGAGTGGTTGACAGTGGTGGCTGGAACCATCTAATTCTGGTCTCATAGTCATATAGGCTGAGGATCACATGGTGTACCGATTACTTGGACTAACTGTTTCCGTGTATCTTTGGTTTCCTTCATTCTTCTTTGCTCTGGACGAGGAGAGACCCATCCTCGCATCTAGATGGATGCTTGCAAGCTCATAAGATCCATTCGCTACTCGCCAAAGTAGAAGGTAGAACAATGTTTTTGTGTAGTATGTTATGCCAATTGAGCCTGATGTCCCCTGTGATCATGGTCCCACCCCCATGGGTCCAACTACTTTCTCCCTCTGGGCAGTTGGCTGGGGTCAAGAACTGACTACAACCTTGTCTCTTGTCAGCTCTACTATATACCTGGGAATTCTTATAGAATATACAAATACACTTGTAGAACATTATCTGCCAACCCTATACATGGTCGTGGGCACACTCCCTCTTGCACAGACATATCTAATTGTTCAGCCTGTCCACCATCTATCCAGCCATATATCAATATTTGCCATCACTGACAATGCAGTACTGTATGTGCAAAAGGGTTCACATCTGTACCTCCTATGCACCTGTCTTCCTCTTCCTCAGTGTTACCGTGTTGATCACTCATATTTGGTACACTGCCCTTCCCTTCACCCAGATCAACACTTGTCTCTATCTATCTATCAGTGTTCCCTCCCCTCCCTTCCCACCCCTGGTAACCAACAAAGAGCACTTCCTTGAGTTTGGTTTTTTGTTTTTTTTTAAGTAGCTTTGTTTAAAAAGGTAAAAAGAAGCATGTGATATTCACTTCATAAAATATTTTCTTTTACCTCAATATATCCAGATTATCAGCTCAACGTGCAATCGGTTTTTTAAAGTTATTACTGCAATATTTTACACTTATTCTTTTGATTGTTATACTGTTGTTACTGAGTACTGTCAAGCCAATTTTGACTTGATGTGCCCCCATGTGACAGCACAGGACTGTTCCACAGGGCTTCCTAAGTTGTAATCTTTACAGGAACTGATTGACAGGCCTTCCTCCAGTGGAGCCACTGGGCAAGTTTGAACAGCCAACATTTGTCAGCTGCCAAGCGCTTAACCATTGTGCCACAAGGGCCCCTACATCTTCAAAATCATGTGTATTTTACACTCACAGCTGATCTTAGTTCGGACTAGCCACATTTCAAGTGCCCAACAGCTACATCGTGGCTACCATATTGGACAGTGCAGCTCAAGTGGAGAAAGAGACAAAAAGGAAAGGGAAAGAAGACAGGGAGACCAGGAGATGGGAGTGGGGAAAGTCTTCACCAGGTGAGAGAGATGGCCACCTACCGGGATGCAAAGGCCACTCTTTGTAGCTAAAGGGTCAGTTACTGATCTTTCTGAGCCTTTTCAGCCCCAAAACCCTATGGGGCTCTGGGAGGTTAAACAGCAGGTTAAACAGCCCTCCCCAGAAGGAGAGCCTTCCTGAGAATGTCAGGCCAGCTTTCTTGGTCCCAAATGAGGTCAGGCATCCCCAGGCCATTTCTCAAAAGATCCTTAATGAAGAACTTGCAATGTTTGCCTTCCTAACCCTATGTCTACCCCAGAGGAGAGAGAAAGCTACGTGGAGTTGTAGGCTCAAAACTGGATTACAGGGCAAGTGGAACCAGAAAGGTGGTCATGTGGGGGGCAGCATCCTAACCTGGGGCCTGTGGGTGATCTCTAGGGTCTGCCGTCTATGGAGCCAGGTGTGCGCACACTGTCTTGGGAGCAGGCCCACACCTTGCCTGGCATGCAGTCATGTCTGAAACTCCCAAACGAAAAAAGCCTCACCCAGGCCCCAGGCCCTCTCGGCAGCCCAGGTGGGCCGATGGGTCTCTTACCTTCCTTCAGCATCCCCACTTTGAGGCATTTCATGAAGCGACAGGCTTGGCAGGACTTGCGCCTCCGTTTCGTGATCTCACATTCGTTGGTGGCTGGGCAACTGTACTCGATGTTTCCTGCAATCAGATAGAGAGAGTTTGCAGATACCATCCAAGGGCCCCAGCTGGCCAGTGGCTGGCTCCAAGGCTGAATGCAGGTTAACTGGATGAACCTACAACTGCCCCTCCCCAGCCCAGGTTCCCCTAAGGCAATGGTTCTCAAAGTAGGTGCTCTGAGATGCTGCTGTCTCTCTAGACATACACACACTCATCAAAAAACAAAAAACCAAACTCATTGCCAGTGAGTCGGATCTGACTCATAGCGACCCCTCCTTGGGTTTCCGAGGCAGTATCACTACAGAAATAGATTGCCCAACCTTCCTTCAGAGGAATGGCTGGTAGGTTTGAACCGCCAGGCTTCTAGTTAGCAATCAAATGCCTTAGGCACTACGCCACCAGAGCTCCCCAAGAAACAATGCCAAAGGATCAAGAGCAAATGTTCCAAACTCTTTTCTGTAGGTCTGGGAGGGCCAGGTAGCCACTTGGAAAAACACTATCCTGAGAACAGTCAACCTGGGCTGGGGCATCAAAACCCACAGAGCTGGCACTTTATCCCAGGAACAGAATGCCCACTGTGCTGACCAGAACACCAATGCAGACTCTCTGAACTAGAGCGACTCTCCTCTCCTCACCTGCACCCGGCTGGGACCCCCAAGAGAGCCAGGAGAGACGCACCTCCAGACTATCGCCCCTACTCCCTTTCTCGGAGTCCCTGGATGGTGCAAAGGGTTAAAGTGCTAGGCTGCTAACTAAAAGGTTGGCAATTCGAATCCACCCGGCAGTGCCTTGGAAGAAAGGCCTGGCAACTACTTCAGGAAAAGGCAGCCACTGAAAGTCCTATGAAGCACACAGTTCTACTCTGACACATGTGAGGTCACCACGAATCAGAATTGATTAATGGCAACTTGGTTTTGTTTTTTTTTTTACCATTTCTTATCACTCTGGCCTTGTGTGGCTTCTTGGGAAATCATTTCAATATTCACATAAGCATGATAAAATTAAAAAGATAAACAAGCTGATCTTTTAAGAATGAGGAACAAACTGTCCATAATGCAAAAGATTAGGTAGGCACCTTAGGCGGCAGTGAGTTTATGTCAATGAAGGAGCATCAACTCAGAAAAGGAGGGTGAGAAAGGCTGCACAACTCAAAGAATGTAATCAATGTCGCTAAACTGAACAGAGCTCTGGTAGCATAGTGGCTAAGACACTTGCCTGCTAACCAGACGGCTGGCAGTTCAAACCCACCAGCCACTCCTCGGAAGGAAGGTTGGGGAATCCTAATTCTGTAGTGATACTGCCTCAGAAACCCAAGGAGGGGTTGCTATGAGTCGGGGCCGACTCGACGGCACATAACAACAACAACAACAAACAACGTGCACAAACTGCTGTGAACAAAACTGTGTTTTGCTGTGCATATTCTCAACAACAAATTTTAAAAATAGATATATTCTACCACAAAAATAAAACAAGCAGAAGAGAGGAAAACACATATGAACTGATTCCTCCAAGTCCTCATCTTGGCTTACAAAGCTCAACGGGATCTGCTCCCAGAATCCTTCTCTCTGTCCAGCCTCACCAAGCCTCTTTTCCTCCTTTCTCCAGTCACTCTGTATAATATATCAGCTCCTGAACTCTCAGGCCCCCAGGCTTCTGCTCCTGCTGTCCAGAGCAAGCCCACTGTACACCCTCCACCTCATTGCCCCACCGCTTAAATCCCACAGCCCACTTAGGTGGAAGTGCCTTTTCTGAGTCAACCATCCTCTATCTCCCCCACCTACACTGGTTCCTGTCTACGTTCCAAGTGGTCGGCACACACTAGGGGCTAAATACATTAAGGAAGGTGACTCTGTGGCAAGCTCATTGCTATCTGTCAACTCTCTTTGAGAAATCCCAGGGCATCTTCCTCAGCTGTCCATGAACAACTGCAGGGCACAGGCAGCCCAGGTCTGGAATGAGGGTTGCAGAGCTTCAACAGCTCTTGGGGAAATGTGTGGGATCATAAGAAAGTCTGAAATCTCATCTCAGGCAATAGATGTACTACAAAGTTTAATTATCTACCACTAGCTGAAAGGTTAGTGGTTCAAAGCCACCCAGGGGTGCCTCAAACACAGGTCTGGAGATCTGCTTCTGAAATAAAGCCTTGAAAACTTTATGGAAGGCAATTCTACTCAGACACAGTTGACTTCATGGCAACTGGTATACTGGCCAATATATGCAGGTCTACTAGAGCCTGAAAATTTCCTTTTGAACATGAAGAACTAAAGTTAATGGAAGAGATGATGAAGTAAAAAAGCTGAAGAGAAGATTTCAAAGGGTAGGTCGTGAAGACAAGGTGAAGTGCAAAGACTTGGAGTTGAAAAGCAAAAAGGAAGAACACACTCAGCATTTCTCAAGCTGAAAGCACAGAAGGAAAAATTCAAGCCTCGGGTTTCAATACTGAAGTATTCTATGGGCAAAGGACTGAATGACACCAACTGATGTGACCTGGCCAAGTGACTGGAAGACATACATATCTGTGCTCATTCCAAAGAGAGGTGATCCAACAGAATGTGGGAATCATTGAACATTATCACTAATATCACACACAAGTAAAATTTTGCTGAAGATAATTCAAAAACTGGTTGCAGCAGTACATCAACAGGGAACTGCCAAAAATTCAAGTCAGATTCAGGAGAGAACATAGAATAAGGGATATCATTGATGTCAGATGGATCCTGGCTGAAAGTAGAGAATAGCAGAAAGATGTTTTCCTGTGTTTTAAGGACTATGCAAAGGCATTCAACTGTGGTGATTACAACAAATTATGGATAAGATTGTGAAGAAAGGGAATTTCAGAACACTTAATTGTGCTCATGAGAAACCTACACACAGACCAAGAGGCAGTTGTTTGAACAGAATAAGGGAATACTGCGTGGTTTAAAATCAGGCAAGATGTGCCTCAATCTGTATGGTAAGCAAATAATCTGAGAAGGTGGACTAAATGAAGAGGACTGTGGCATCAGGATTGAAGGAAGACTCATTAACAGCCCGTGACACGCAGACGACACAACCTTTCAGCAAGCACTGAAAGTGAAGAGGACTTGAAGCACTTGTTGATGAAGATCAAAGACTACAGCCTTCAGTATGGATTCCACTGCAACACAAAGAAAACAAAAATCCTCACAACTGCATCAATAAGCAACATCATGATAAATTGACATAGATTGAAATTGTCAGAGATTTCATTTCACTTGGATCCACAATCAGTGCCCATGGAAGCAGCAGTGCAGAAATCAGACTGCACTGGGCAAATCTGGTGCAAGAGACCTCTTCAAAGTGTTCAAAAGCAAAGATGTCACTTTGAGGGCTAAGGTACATCTGACCGGGCTAAGGTACATCTGACCCCAGCCATGGTATTTTCAATCATCTCACATGCATGCAAAAGATGGACAATGATTAAGGAAGACTGCAGAAGAATTGATATCTTTGAATTATAGTGTTTACATAAAATATTAAATATACCACGGACTGCCAGAAGAATGAACAAAATCTATCTTGGAAGAAGTACAGCAAGAATGCTCCTTAGAAGTGAGAACAATGAGACTTCATTTCATGTACTTTGGACACGTTATCAAGAAGGACCAGTCCCTGGAGAAGGACATCATGCTTGGTAAAGTGGAGGGTCAGTGAAAAAGAAGACGACTCTCAGTGACATGCATTGATAGAGGCTGCAAAAACGGGCCCAAACATAGCAACGACTGTGAGGAAGGTGCAGGACTAGGCAGTGTTGCGTTCTGTACACAGGGTCGCCATGAGTGGGACCAACTCAGTGGCACCTGACAACAACACAGGAGTCCCTGGGGGGCACAAACGATTCAGCACTTGACGACTAGCAGAAACGTTAGCAGTTCAAACCCACCAAGAAATGCCTGGAATGATAGGCCTGGTGATGTGCTTCCAAAGGCTTAAAAACCCCACAGGGCAGTTCTACTCCTCACACGAGGGTCACCAGGAGTTGGAATCAACTCGATGGCAACGAACATGAACAGCAACAACAACTACAGGTGCTCCATACATTAAGCACCAAGACCGACCGAGTGCCTATTGTAAAGCACCCACAGTTCTGCTTTGCATACACTGAATCTTTCATTTTCCCAACAACCTATACTCTCCTCAACCCTATAGGCACCAGGATGTGGCAGAGCAGGTCTTGCACTCTGGCAGTCTGGCCCAAGTCTCTGTTCTGAGCTGCTAGGGAGGGAGCTGTGAGGCCCTTCTTGGCCCCACGTTCCCAGGCTATCATCACTCATGTCGCCTTGGATGCCGTTTGCACAGCGTGAATTTCTCAGGTGCCCTGGTCTGCATTGCTCAGGCAGGAGGATGGAGCCACAGGCTTTGCAGGGCTGTTGCTCAGAGCAGGGATCGGTAAGGTCTGTTGGCTTGGCACTAGCTCGAGTAATGTTCTTGACCCTTTGGGATTATGTCTGTGTGTGCATCTGTGTGTGAGAGAGACAGAGTTCTAATTTTATTTATTTATTTTTGTTCCTTTCAATTTGGTTTATGGCCGCAGCGGCTGGCTGCCAGCAAGGCCAGGCTGGTGGCCTTGCCTTGTAATTTCTGTAAGTGCCTCCTCGATAAAGTGATGAGATTAATTCATCAGAATTCCGGTGGTCTCTGGAGGGCGGCCTAGGAGAGCTCAGGAGCAGGGAAGGGGCATACGTGACACACACACGTCATGGTAATACACGTTCCAGCTGAGGTGTGGCAGGTTTGGGGGTGGGATCTCATAGGACACGGACATAAATTCAGGGTTCTAACCCGGAAGTGTGTACCACACAGACAAGTGCAGACTCTTTTTGGGCAAAGCACCTAACCTCTCTGAGGCTCAGTTTCCTTTCCTGTAAAATGGGTATAGTCCATGTCCATCTCATAAACTGTGTGGCTTCAGTGACAGAAAGCACATGACGGTTAGTAATAGTAACATCAAGTTTCCTTAGCTTGTTTTTATATCTGGGCCCAGCCAGCCAGACAAAACGAGG